AGGAGTCCGTAGTAAGACAGTTGGGATTGGTAGGCATTCCAGGTCTCTCTTCTCCTAGACTCAAAGTCCTCTGGCTCACAGCCTCTCAGCCCTGCAGCATCGTGGATGTGGAGGTATGACACGTGTGTCAGGTGGAAAAATGGACCCCTGAAATGTTCAGAAAAGAGGATGGGAGTGGTCACCCCTAACTTTGACTTGCTCAGAATTGTGGATGTCTTGTGTTTCAGTTCCTCCCTGTGTACCATCCCAGCCCTGAGGAGAGCAGGGACCCCACATTCTATGCCAACAATGTCCAGAGAGTCATGGCACAGTGAGTGTCCCACAAAGTATTTCCTGGAGCAGAAGAACCACAAGGAGAGGGTGGAGGGCCAAGGCAAAGATTTGGGGAGGGGGTAGCAATGGGAAGCCAAAGCTGAGGAGAGAAAAATTAAAGGGGGCCTCATTCATTTACACTTCCTAACCAGCATGCCAGAGTCAGTAATCAACTCCATCCATCTTCCTCCTTTAGGGCCCTGGGCATTCCAGCCACCGAGTGTGAGTTTGTAGGAAACATCCCTGTGATTGTAATGGGCCGGCTGAAGGTGGCGTTGGAGCCACAGCTCTGGGAATTGGGAAAGGTGCTTCGGAAGGCTGGGTAAGATGAGAGCATGAGTATGATCGTGTTTGATGGTGGTGGTTGTAAGCTGTCAAGTCAGTTCCTAATCATAGCGACTCTATAGATCTCTATAGAAATCTTTCAGGGACTTGTAGACTTGAACTGCTGACCTGACCTTGTGGTGGAAATGGGAAAGAAGAAGGAATGTCTTTAAAAAGAAAGAGGAATTTTTAAAAGATAGTGAAGTAGAAGATGTGAGGAGGGAGTAGGGAGAGTGGGTAGTTAATCTTTCATTCCAGGAACAGAGAATCCTAGGACCATAAAGAGAGAAGAGCATGAGCAGAGTGTATGATCCTAACCAGAAAAGCAGGAACGGCAGAGGTAATGACAGAGAGAGAACAGCTAAGGACTCTAGACCCATAGAATGAGGAAGGCTGTGTGTGCCTGAGGGCAGGAGGCTGGTTTGCAAAATATGCCCTTTGGACATTTAAATGAATACATATATTCTGTGTGTTTTGTGTACATTAAAAAAGAAAGGGTAGGGCAGAATAGAGGTAAATACTGTTAACCCATGGTGTATGGAAAGGATTGTAATTATAGCAATGAAACAAAGTTTGATGATTGTAAAACTGATGATCTGCCCTGCAAACTATCACTCAATTCACAATAAAAGCTTTTTTTTTTTTTTTTTTAATGAGTATGTCTTAGAACACCAGCTGAACCTGCACTGGGGGATGTCTTGAAGTTGGAGCCAGGATCTTATTAGACAGTGTCTAAAGATACTGACTCTGCTGTCTTCCTTCAAAAATTTACTTATAGACTGTCCCCGAGCTGTGTGGACACTGGGGCAGAGCCAGGACGGAGCCGAATGATCAGCCGGGATGAGTTTGCCAGGCAGCTACAGCTTTCTGATCCTCAGACCGTGGCTGGTGCCTTTAGCTACTTCCATCAGGTAAAGGAGCCACAACACAAATAGTAGAACCCGGGGTCTCACCCTCCCAATTGACATGCTCAGGATTGAAGGACATTATCAGTCACCTTGGATGGTCCATTTGGAATCCATTGGGTGTTATAACAGCTCTTATCAGATGGTCATCTTTTGAGGTTCACTGGGAGATTCTGGAGCGTTCGGTGTATTGAAGAGCAATGTTTTGGTCCTTGTGGTGGAGGAAGGGTGGTGTAAGGGTGAAAAATTGATCTGGGAGATCCATGAATTTCTGAAGCTATTTTAAAGATTGGCAAAGTATGAGATCATATGACCTTGTGGGGCACTGGGTAAAGGTCTTTGAAGAACACTCATCAAGGTGAGGTGGGAAGGTGACATGGAGGAGAGGACCCTGGGCCAGTTAGATGAGTAAAAGAGACAGCAGTGTTTACAGTTCCTGGGCAGGGTTTATAAAGGTCCCGTAGCCTCCTTAGTGGATTCATGAAGTTTCTCAAGAGTCTTGGCAAACCATCCTGTTTCCAGGATCCCCTAACTAGGTTTTCTTAATAGAATTATAACATCCTAGAAGCATCTTAATGTTCACAACCAACAGTGGGTCCTGAGGAGCTCTTTTGGTCTAAGATTCAGACCTTGGCCCTCAATGTTCTCTGAAGGGACCGGGAATGTCCAATCCAGGTGTGTTAATTCCTTAGAATGCAGGCGACTGATCCTTTCTCCATTGAGCCCAGAGCAGAGCAGAACCAAAACCCTAAGTGTGCAGTCCCCCTTAGAGCAGACACAGTAGACATCCTCTTCTCTATGTGTTGTGCAAAATATGCCAGTGACACCCTTTCACATAGTACTCCCCACATAGTCTAAACTTAAGCAAGGAGAGACTCAGCTTGGGGGCCACGAATGTCCTCTGGCCATATATACCAGACAGTAGTAACGTTAGCATTCCTGGGGGATTCCCTAGCATTCCTAGAAGCTCCCTTTGTGGGAAAACTTTGTCACCAGCTGACTCCAGAGCAAGCTCCGTGGGAGCTGAAGGGGAGCCGTCACAGGAGCCATCCTGATACCTGTTGAGAACAGGAAGAACCCAAATCCCCAGAAGGCAGGAAAGAGGGTACAGGGTCATTCCCCCTTTATTCTGGGTTGTCATTCACCTTCCAGGACACTAAGGGTTTGGTGGACTTCCGAGATGTGGCCCTTGCACTGGCAGCTCTCGATGGGAGCAGGAGCCTGGAGGAGCTCATACGCCTGGCCTTTGAGGTACCAAGATGAGGGGGGCAGGGTAAAGGTAGATGGTGAGTGTGGCCACCCCAGTTGGAGGTCTGTGTAGATGCTGTTCCCAGTAACTTATAGATAGGAGAACCCCCAAGCCTCTATATTGAGTCCTACCTGGGAATGGGGGAGAGTAGCATCTATGACATTTAAAATTTTGCAGAAAGGACACTAGTGGGTCAGGGAAGACCTGTGTGCTGCACTGCACCCTTGGGAGAGGAGAAGTGGGTGAGAGAGAAGGAGCCTGTTGGGCAGATCTGCAGAGCCGTGAGGAGCAATGAATGGCACAGGAGGGCTTGACTGCGGCCTTTTTTCTCCCAAGCTCTTTGCTGAGGAGCAAGCTGAAGGGTCCGGCCGCCTGCTCTACAAGGATGGCTTCAGCACCATCCTGCACCTGCTGCTGGGTTCGCCCCGCCCTGCAACCACCACTTTGCATGCCGAGCTGTGCCAAGTGGGCACCAGCCAAGGCCTCTCCCTCTGTGAGTCACGGTCTTCCTGGCCACACACGGGCACTGGGGACCTGAAGGAAGTGCTGGCTGGGAGGAACAAGGGTTGGTGGCAGTGCTGGGGGAACTGGGAAGGCAGGGACGACATAGAACTGGAGCTGAGAAGTTAAGCAGAAATTAGAGGGAGAAGACATTCCTGAGACAAGAGCAGGGGCATCTTCTCTTCTTCTTAGATCTTTGTATTTCTTTCCATCTCACTGCCCTTTGTCCAGGTCAGTTCCAGAATTTCTCCCTTCATGATCCTCTCTATGGGAAGCTCTTCAACACCTACCTGCGTCCCCCACGCACCCCTCGAGGCACCTCCCAGATAACAAATGCCTCGTGCCCAGGCAACCCCACTGCTCTGGCCAACGGGACTGTGCAAGCACCCAAGACAAAGGGTGACTGAGTACCTCGGCCCTTCCCCCAGCTCACACCCAGCCCCGCAGACTCAGGGCAGTGCCAGGGGCCTACCCTGTGCCTCAACCCCATCTCTGCTTTTGTTTGATTTTTTTTTTTTTTTTTCTTTTTTTTTTTTTTAGTTTGTTTTATTTTTTTTTTTTTTGTAAGAAACTATTTTATATATAAATATAAATATATATCTATATCTATTAAAAAAAATGTGAATCTCATTCATGCTGATGGTCTCATTAGCTGTGAAGGAAAGGAATGAATGGTATAGAATGCTCACAGGAAGAGCTCAGAGGCCCCTGAGGTCTGTCTTGTGACTTCGCTGGCGGAATCCTCGATTCCAGCTGGACAGGGCTCTTTCCTACACAGAAGTCATGTAAAGAGATTTAATTTCTTCCCCTCTTGTCATTACCTTATACACACATTTCAACAGACTTCCTCGTGAACCTCTTTTCAGCCCATTCCCTCTTGTTCTGCCCTTGTTAGCGATTAAAAAATAGCTTGCTACCATTCCATATTTAATGATCCTACTGAGACTTGATGCTATCGCTGTAGGGGGAGCCGAGTGCTGTGTCAACAAGAAATAAGCTTGCTCCCTCCCTGTCAGGTCATCCCAACCACACAGGAAGGGTTCTCGGCCACTGAATGAGCTGAGGCTCACTTAATTAAGCTTCCTCTGTCCAGGCTCTTTTGAAGGAAGAAGATAAAAAGGTGCCATATCTAGATGCAATTATGGAAAATGAACTCGATTTAGAAAATTAGATACCCCAGAAACCTGACAAAAATGAAAGCATCTCTCCGCCCGAAGTCTTTCCAAGAGATGGATAATGATAGGATGTCTTGAGAAGGCTGACCCAAACCAAGGGGGTAAATAATGTTAATCACTAGGGACTCATTAATGGTAGAACTCCTCACAGCCTGAAAGCCACTCTGTTCCCAAGAGGAGACTGCAGGAAGCCGAAATGTAGCTGGGAGTCAAGCTAAGTTGTCTTGGATCCACAGAACCTGGGACCACTCCCCCACCTTTCCAGCATCTCACCTCATCTGTCTTAACAGCAAAGACATGAATACAGAAAGCCATTTTCCAACAAAACCATCTTTACTCATTTTTTTTTCCCATACAATTCCCCTCACCTCCCACCAAGGGACCATCTCTACCCTAATGAGTCTGAGCTCCCCACCTTCACCACAACTTTCTGTTTAACAACAAAATAATTGTATTTGTTTGAGAAAGTCTCTCAGTGTGTATTCTATTCTGGATCCCCCATGGGCTTGGCAGGTAGCATGTTCCTGCTGGTCTCTACTGGTTACGACGTCGCTTCTTTCTTCTCCCTGTGACAAAACTGTCACGCCGCCTTTTACGAGGCTGTGGCAGGCGAGCAACTCCTCCAGCTGAGGATTTCTCCTCAGGGACCGCTCCTGAGTGAGGCTTCTTTTTAGTGGATGGTGGGCCTCCAGCAAGAACTCGCTTCCCAGATTTGGCAGCAGGATGTGATGGAGGGCCAAGTCGACCTACCTCAGCAGAAAGGGAGTAAAGTGCTGTCTTGACCCCCTGACCACCTATAGCAGGCAGGCCTGAGGTAGGGCGAGAGCTGAGGGGAAGCCCTCTGGGTGATAGGCTAAGTTTGGAGGCCAAGAGGTAGGCAAAGTTAGAGAGCTCCTCGTCTTCCTCATCCTCTTCCTCATCCTCTTCCTCCTCTTGCTTTTTGCTGGCCCCATCTGTTGAGCTGCATGTTTCTTCACTCACAGGAGGCGTTTCTCTTAGAACTAAGGCATCCTTAGTCCTCCATCTAGGGGAAGTGCTTCCAAGGTCCTGCTGAGGAGATGTGGATTTTGGGGTTCTTGGTAAAGGAGTAAGATCTTTTGGCTTGGACAGATCCTCTCCTTGAGGATCATAAGAATTAAAATTAGATGGGCAGTTATCCTCGAGAATCTCTCCTAGTTCGAAGTCATGGTCATTTCCAATATACAGTATGCTGATGTGCTCTGTGGGTGCCAACAGAAGGGAAATGGACTGACCTCCGCTCCCTTTATCGGGGAAGGAGATGGCATCCTGGCCCTCCAGAATACAGGTGTTGCCTTGATATGCTGGCAGGAGGGTTTCTTTGAAAGACTCCAGTGTGGGAACATCAATTCCGCTTTCCAGCAATGGAGAGAAACCTTCAGTCCAGAGATCACTGGGATCCTGAGTAGTTTCAGGGTTGTGTTCGCTATTTTCTTTGGGCCTCAAATCAGGGCTGCTGGCCCCCAGAGGTCGTGGCAAGCTGCTGGAGTTTCTTTCTTCTGAAGTAGCTGTGGCATTGGTGCCTCCACAGGGAAGTGCACTGATCCCCACATTCCCAGGGGATGAGACTTCTCCAAGGCATGGACAGATGTTGCTCCCGGAGCCCAGTGCCTCACAGCCTCCCTGGTACTCGGTTACACAGTCCCCATCTTGGAAGTTCTCTATGACCTCGATTTGGAAGGGCAAATCTAAGCCCACCTCATCCATTTCACTGCTCAGCCAAAGCCCTGGACTGAGAGGGACCTCATCCCTGTCTCCAGCTGATCCAGGGGAAGGGTCCTGATCATAACTCTGAGTCATCACAGGACCGCTGTCATCTCCCCACATGGCTTCTGCGGAGCCTTCTTGGGACAATGCTAAATGCTCCTTCCCTTGAAACACTCCAAAAGCCACCATCTGTTCTGTCTGAAGTTCCAGGATTTGATTTTCTAACTCCTGACTCTGCAGAGGAGCTGGCTCTGCAAGTCCAACATCCAAACAAGGAGCTCCCTCCAGCTGGAGGTCTTCCTGCCAGCAAAAGGGTGGGGCCTCTGCAGTCCTGTCAGCCACCAAGGAGTGCTCAGGGGACATTGTTCCTCCCAGAATACCATCCTGATGTGGGGAGATCGGGCTTGGAACCTGTTCAGACCCTCCTCTGCTCTCTGCACCCAAGGGTTCCCGAGTACCCTGTGGCACCTTAAGATCCAGCTGCAGGCTCCAGCTGCTGAGGGATGGCAGAGTGTCCCCATCCTTGTGTGACCCCCTTGGGCCACTGAGGGCTTGCTCTGACCCACCATGCCTTTCTCTTGCCTGCTTTCCTGGAGAAGCAGCCTTTCCAGGGCAAATGATGCCCCCAGGTATCCGAGGCCCAGGTGAGGGCCGAAGTTGCCCACCCCCATCTTCATCCTCATCAGAAATAGAAGGACTTAAGTCTGATTGAACTCCACTGCAGTTTGCAGGTGCCTCCACATCCTCTTCTAGGGCCGTGAGTCGCTTCTGTACAAGCTAGAAGGAAATGGACAAATACCAGTTCTACGCATGACTGTAAGAAGAGGTAATCACGTGGGTAGCAGGGTGCTGGCATGTGGGCAGGGCAGGAAAGGTAAGCAGGTGGCTTAAGTGTTAGTAAGGAAGGTGGATCTGCGCTGTATCCCCATGCATTGAGACCTTGCACTCCTGGGCATGGTTCCCTACCTACTTGTCCACACCTGAACCCCAATCTTGAGGCTGTTCACCAGAAGCCACCCATTCAAGGCAGTGTTGTAGTTGTTAGTGCCATCGAGTCGATTCCGACTGATAGCGACCCTGTGTAGGGTTTCCAAGAAGCAGCTGGTGAGCTTGAACTCCTGATGATCTTGTGGTTCAAACCAACTTTGCAGTCCAGCACATTAAGCCACAGCATCACAACAGGATTCCCAAGGTGGTGGTGTTATGTGCCGTGGAGTCGGTGCCGACTCATACCGACCCTGTACAGGGTTTCCGAGGCTATAAATGTTTATAGGAGCAGATCGCCTTATCTTTGTAGGGTTAGATAAAATTACGTGTGCCTTGGGTTTTGCATTCCCTACTTTGCAAGTTTAAGGAACTCTAGTAGCCTAATGGTTACGAATCGGGCTGCGAACCTTAAAGTCAGCAGTTCAAAACTACCAGCTGTTCTGCAGGAGAAAGATGAGGCTTTCTGCTCCCATAAAGATTTATAGCCTCAGAAACCCTGTGCAGGGTCGTTATGAATCAGTTCTGACTCCACAGCTCATAACCACCATTGCCATTTTGTGAGTTTACCTGAGCGAGAGTAAGCCCTTCTTCTTGCTCCAGTTCCTCACTTAAGGCCAGCGGATCCCTGTGTTGTTGTGGGGATAGCAGGTCTTTTAAAAATCGAGGGTGAATGACAGCTTCCACCTGGAACACACAAGACGAGTCATATGTAAGTCTATGATGAGGAAAAGTGAGTCTAGATGTTCTAGAAAAGAAGCCAGGAGTTCCCCTCCCCACTTCCTACTCCTGCCCCAGGTCGTTATAAACCATCATCACCACCCAGCAGCTACACACATTCATGTTTGGACATTCACACGTCTCAGACCTTGTGGAATACAGTCTTGTCCCTAGCCCAATGCCAGGAAATGCCCACTCCTATGATCTGCTAGTAACCAGACCTTCCAGGCACAGCCCACCTTGGAGACAAAGCCCTCCTGAGAACACAGCTCATCGATGTAGCTCAGGAGACCTGGATCTGGATACATCCCGTCTTCCTCCTGCTGCGGTTCTTCCTGGTTCCCGTCTGGCTCCATAGTGACTGCATGGCTCTCCAACAGCCCTTCCAGAATGCTAGCATACTCTTGCACAGCTTCTGGTGGGATCTCTTTTGGTGCCTCAGGAACTCGAGTCCTCTGGGACTTGCGCTGCCGACGGCGGGGGGCCCGTGTCTTGGAAGCAGCCTTCTTTGGAATATACACTTGGGGAAAGGTGGACAAGAGACAGGCAAAGTGGCACAGGAACTACGACTTTTAATCTGCCAGCCCTGCTTCTGACGGCAAGCTGGGTGCAATGGAATGGTTCCAGGAGGGATCCCACCAACCAGAAAACCAGCCATGGGAGAAGATTTAAGAACTGTTGAGGGCTGAGAATCATGGAATGATCTAGGAACTCCCCAAACACTAAGAAATCTCCTAATCCAGCCCCTTATTTCTTAGATCAGGTATTGTGGGCCCCCTTTGACATCTAAGTGAAAAGAGTAGCTAGTTTACTTGGCCAAGATCAGTAACTTGGAGTGGCTGGTGAGTGTGAATCGCTGAGGACAAAGGAAAGCCCCATTGGAATGTCCTGTTAGAAACATCAAGTATCTATCTCTCCCTGCAGGGAAAGTGGCAGGTGTAAAGGCATTGCCTTCCTTAATCTGACTGGTTTTTCTGTACGCCTCCCTTTAAAACTCTGGTCTGCAGTTCCTGGAATTGGGTCACCATACCTGGTTGCTGGCAAACCTCAGGGGATGGGGGAGCTGGAGGGTCGAGTTTCAGGGGGGCTGCAGGAGGCAGGCATTGGGACTCATTCATCAGCTGTGTATTCTGAATCTGCATCTCCTCCTCAGCTTCAAACTCCATGAACCTGCAGAGGGTCAGGGAAAAAGGCATGAGCGATGCTGAGAAGGTCACCAGTCCTTTCAGGTATTCATACACCAGGCAGTAGCTATATACAGCTAAGAGGAGGTGTTCTCAGTCCTGCCTCAAGTCACTCACAAGGCCACTATATAGTCCCTCACCTACAGTCATCACTTCAGATGCTTGTTAAGAAAATGATGTAGAGGTTGTGAACTGCAGAAGTGTGTGTTGTTGCTGTTGAGTACCGTGGAGTCGGTTCCGACTCATAGTGACCCTGCACAGGGTTTCCGAGGCTGTAAATCTTTATGGGAGCAGAACGCCTCCTCTTTCTCCCACGGAACCGCTGGTAGTTTCGAACTGCCGGCCTTGAGGTTAGCAGCCCGATTCGTAACCGCTACGCTACCAGAGCTCCTTTGCAGAAGAGTGTAGCGTATCTTTTAAGTTTTTTTGTGCCCTACCTAACCCAGACAGTCGCTGGAGAAGGATATCATGTTTGGTATGGTGGAGGGTCAGAGAGAAAGAGAAAGACCCCCAACGAGATTGGCTAAGTAGCAGCATCGATGGACTCAAGCGTGGCAACATAGTGAGGTTGGCCCAGAATCAGGCAGTGTTTTGTTCTGCTGTGCATAATGTCCCTATGAGTGGTACCAACTCTATGGCACCTAACAACAACCACCACCTAACCCAGCAACACAATTGCTTACAACTACATTTAACACAGGCTCACTGAACTAAGGGACAGCAAACAAACCCACTCACAGTGACCCAAGGCTGTAAATCTTACAGAAGCAAAAGGCCTCATCTTGTAGAGTGGCTGCTGGGCTTGAACCTTGTGGTTACAATTCAAGCTTCCTTATTACAAAGGATGACTGAATCTCAAAGCAAGACCCAAGGCTGCAATTCTAGGGAGTTCCCACAAGGAGGCAGTGCTGAGCCAAAGTCTCCTGAGGCTAGGTTCTGAAAGGGTAAAGCTGACAGGAGTGTTGTTGAGTGCCATCAAGTCTGTTTCCAAGTGTGAATCGCTGATCTTGCAGTTCAATAACCTTACAGTCCACTGCTTATCCTACAACACAAATGCCATCTAGTCAACTCCAACTCATAGTGGCACTGTATAGGGTTTCCAAGGAGCCGCAGGCAGGTTTGAACTGCAGACCTTGTGGCTAGTAGCCCCGTGCTTATACAGTGCCACACCAGAACCCTGAGACGATTATTGTTAGGTGCCATTGAGTCAGTTCCGACCCATAGCGACCCTGAACAGGGTTTCCGAGGCTGTAAATCTTCACGGAAGCAGAAAGCCTCATCTTTCTCCCATGGAACAGCTGGTAGTTTCCAACTGCTGACCTTGTGGTTCGCAGCCCGATGATTATTAGGTCCAGAATAATTCTATTAGAAAGTGGAAACTAAGCTTGACGAAAAGGGTTCTTTCTCCTCTGAGAAACACATATTGTTTAACTAAGGAAATTATGGGGAAAGAGTCAGGAGACCATGAAGGGCTTCAAAGGACTTCCCCTGACCAGCCTTTCCCAGACCAGCCCCTCCCTGGGGTGATGGGGTAAACAATTTTCTGTGCCACTGTTTCCAGGAGAGGGACAATCCTAAGGTTCTGCATCAACAGCCACTTGGTAGCAGCAAGACAGTGAGATAGGTAAGAACCTGTGTGGTAGAGCTAATCCCATTGCTAGATTCCTCCAGCAGCCTGGGATATTTACAACAATGAGCTCCCAGCCCATCAGCCCCCCCTCAGGAGGATGAGGGTTCGTGAGACTCACTTTTCTGCCATCTCATAAAAGATCATCCGGTCAAAGTTGCTGGTGTGCTCCCACTCCTGCAAGGCCCTCGGCAGTCCCTCCTCCAGGGTCATAGTAGGCTTCAGTCGAGCCAGGGAACGAAGCACCGGGCTAAAGTACCCATGAGTTAGGTCAGTCACATTTTCCAAGTGCATTTTCCTACCCTCCTGTCCTGACACCCACCTCAGCTCCCAAAGAGACTTCTAGACTCACCAACTTCCCAATCCATTTCATTTTACCATATTCTCTTCCAGCTGAAATTTGCTCGCACACACACAGATGATTTTTCTTCCCACATTCTGAAGTCAACCACTACCACCCCTCCCCCACCATTCTCAGTACTGTCTTCAAACATTAGGGAGCAGGCACTGGTGTTATTAATGAGATTCTTTACAAAGTAGGTAGACTTAACCCTGCCCAAAAGGCACCTGCATATTAAAAAAAAAGAAAAAGAAAAAAAGAACTTAACCTGAATGAATCTCTAATTAAAGGTTGTGTGGAATTTTTATTTGTTGGTTTTTAAGTGTTCTTGCCTCCAGCATACCCCTACCAATTGGCAAATGTCAATACTAGACCTCCCAAGTCCACTGAGTCCTTTTTGAAGCAGAAGAAATCAAAAGGCTGGCCTAAAGTCAGGCTTCATTTTTGCCTGACTTCCTGTTCAGTCCTCAAACACTACTGTGTATCAGAATCAACTGGAGAAGTTTATTACACTTAAGGATTTCAGAAGCCTACTCCAGTGATCCCTAAACTGAGCATTTTACTAGTTTCTTAAGAGACGGTTTCAGAGGATCTAAACTGTACTTTGGGGACGAGCCTGCACTGAGTCCCTGAGTGTGGAGTGCAAGAATAGACTAGGACCAATAGATCTGTTTGGAAGAAGTGCAGCCAGAGTGCTCCTTGGAGGCCAGGATTAGCTAAGCTTCGTCTCTCATACTTTGGACATATTGTCAGGAGAGAACAGTCACTGGTAAAGGATGTCATGCTGGGTAAGGTGGAGGGTCAGAGAAAAAGAGGAAAACCCCTAATGAGATGGATTGGCCAGGTGGCATCATTGATGGACTCAAGTGTGGCAGCAGTAGTGAGGTTGGCCCAGGATCAGACATTGTTTCATTTTGCTGTGCATGGGGTCGCTATGAGTCGGTTCCGACTCGATGGCACCTGACAACAACAACAACAACAAAAGTAAATGGGTTCCATGAAAACCTTGAGTGTCTGTGTTGGCTCAACATTCAGAAATTCAAGCTCCAGGAGAAAATTCCAAGTTGGCTTGAGAAAGCAGGGAATCAGTAATAATTGTCTAAAACCAGGACTGACTTTGGTTATTCACTCCAGGGTTGGGCAGGGGGGCAGATACCTGTATAGTTCAGCTACTAAAGAAGCAACATTTACATTTTTTTTGAAAGTCCCATAAAATGTGATATGTGTTATAGAGTGATTTACCCAAAACATCCAGGGCATGGGCAGAACTGAGAGGCAGCAGGACTGGGTGAGAAGATGGCCAGTGACTCTGCTTTATAAACAGAATATGACCCTGGACTCCTTGGCTAATTCGCAAGCTCACATTCTTAAACAAGGATATTTTGGCCATTTCTGCATTCCTTCCCTCTTCCTTTTACAAAGATTGCCTTTTTATAGTAGTAACAACAAAAGCTTCTCTTTAATGGAGGGCAGTTATAGAATTCTTGCCTTCCATTTAAGGAGACAAACCTGAGCTAAATTCCCAACCAGTGCAGCTACCACCCACCCATCAGTGGAGGTGTGCATGTTGCTGTGATGCTGAGCCTACTGACTAAGAGACTAGGAAGAAAGGCCTGGCAGTCTGCTCCTGAAAACCAGCCAATGAAAACCCTGTAGCTCACAATGATCAACCCCACAGTAGATAGGGTCTACACGAATCAGAATCAAGTCCACAGCAGCTAACAAAAACAACCGAGCCTAAACTAACTTGTTCCCCTTAGGTCAACTCCAACTCCCGGTGGCCCCATGTGTTACAGAATAGAACAAGTCCAATTACCAAAGCAGAAAACCAGACCTTTCGTACATGGTGCCAGTGGGCACCAACTTGTAGGTCCAGCCCCCAGGGACCTACCACAGCCACCATTTAATGAGGCATTCACTCACTTATACACTTGTAGTGTATAAACTCAATCTTCCCAGTAACTTTTGAGGTCAGTATAATTTTCCTCATTTTAGATGAAAAAACTGAGAGTTAAGGATGTTAAATGCCCTGCCCAGGATTACAAATCTAGTGACTGATGGAGTCCCTGACCACTAAGAATGTTCTAGAAAATCAAAACCCTGTTGCTGTAATGTTAATAACAACTCATGGCAATCCCATATATGCCACAGTAAAACAGAGCTCCATTAGGTTATCATCGTAGGTTGCCAGGCCTTTCTTCTGAGGTACCTCTGTATGAACTCGAACCACAAATCCTTCAGCTAACTGATGCTCCACCCAGGGACTTCAAGTATGCACTCTCACATCCCTAATTCAGCTTAAATTCTGGATACAATGGGGGGCAAGTATGGGAGACATACAGATTGCTTGGCCCTGCATTGTACTTCCCTCCTACAGGAATGAATCAGGGCCCAGCACTCCCTGTCCTGCCTGTCAGAATGGTTCAACTCAAATGCAGAGAGGTAGTAAAGCAGAACCAGGAGGGTTGTGGTACTTGTAGTCAGAGACCTAAATTCAAATCAAAGATCCTCACTTTAGGATAGCAAATCTCTGAGCCTGCCTGAACTCACATTAGGAGGACCACTAGACAGAAGATACCTGAAAGCATGCTGAAAACTGGAGCGTTGGTTAAGAGGTTTCATATCAACATCATGATTATTGTTCTCAGCATCTCCACCACCCTCAGGATCTGCCTTCAAGTATTCTTAAACAACCTAATCTCATATGGTATTCCCCTGTAAAAGCCCTAGGATAATTCATCTCAGGTCTCCTCACTTACATAAGAAAGCAGGAAAGAGCTTCTGCATCAGGACTTTGGGGTAGGTGCCTCCGGGCCAGAGCTTTGTAGCACTGCCATCTTCGGAAGTTCTCATAAACGCCCTTGGAGGTATAGGAGAGGTCATTCAGTGAGGATTTAGATTGGGCAGCCACAGGACTTCCTTCCCCAGGAACCCCATGAGGCCCCGGCCAAGTCTTCTCCAGGGGCACAATAGGGGCCAGTTGAGCAGCTGGCTGTAGAACTTGAGAGGAAAGTCCTGGGGGCCCTTCCTGGTTCACCCCAACAGCCTGAGCAGGCAGAATGGTCTTCACATTAGAGGCTGGAGCACCTGAGGCAATCCAGTTGAGAGCATTCTGAGTAAGGATGAAGTTCTGAGTTTGAGGGGGCTCTTCTTGACCCCCTTCTGCCTTGACTTGGACAATGACCTTTCCAGCCCCAGCCCCACTGGGGCCAGGAACCCCATCCCCAGTCATCAGCAGTGGGTTGGGGAAAGCAGACAGCACCAAGGGGCTGCCTGGAGAGCAGGATGAAGGTATGGTGGGCTGTGGGGACGGCTCCCAGGGCTGCTGGTCTGGTGGGCCTGGAGCAGGTGGGGGAAAGGGAAGAGCTGGGAAAGAGGCCATAGAAGTGCCAGTTTTCATGGTCCTTTCCGGTCCTGACAACGGAGATGCTGTTGAGACAAAGAAGAAAATGAATGGAGTAAGAGTAAAGGAGTCTGGACAAGAGCATCGGGGGCCCCTAGAATCGCTAAAGAATCAGCACTAATTTTCAGAAGGTGGGGCAGGGGCAATGGTTGGGAATTTATGTGGCGTGTAAATGTCCTCTAATTTTCATGTTCATTACTCCCAGATGAGAATTACTGCACTACACAAACTGCTTCCTTTTCAACAACACATAGCGACCTCTGTCTGGCATGAAGAGACAAGCTCAAGCCATCACTTCCTCTGACCCTCTTCTCCCCATAGGCTGTTTGCCAAGACAGGAGCAGGTTTGACACTTGCTCTGCAGGTAAAATAGCCCAGAGCAGGTTCACCAGCAGATAAATCGAGTCCAAGAGAGAGGTTGTGGCCCTTCTCAAAGACACCCACAGGGCTCTTAAGGAAAGGTTCACAGGATGTTTAGCCCCATCTCCTCCTCAGTCTTCCTTTTACTATTGTTTCTCTTTTCTTTCTTCCTTAACTATAAAAAAAAGATGTAATCTGCAAGTAGGAGCAAGGACCCTAGGACCCATGAAGCTCACACCCAGCAGACATGTACATCTGCTATTCCCACCCATTCTAAGTAGAGATCCAAACTTGGACCCTGTTCGCAGCTGCTCTGTGTTCCCTGCCACCACTCACAGAAGCACTGTCCCCAAGGGGTGGGGTGTGGATTCCATATTTGGGGCCCAGAAATTTTGTTATATAAGTCAAGAATGATGAGAGAACAAATGAGGGGCAAGAAGGTAGGGAGGACGTTTTAAGTAATTGCTAGGTATAGTAGCGTAATGGTTACAAGCCAGGCTGCCAACCTCAGGGTCAGCGGTTTGAAACTGCCAGCAGTTCCGCGTGAGAAAGATTGGGTGTTCTGCTCCCGTAAATATTTACAGCCTCAGAAACTCTGTGCAGGGTCACTGAGGCGGAACCGACTCCACGGCACTTAACAACAAAAGAAGTATGTTAAAAGTTGGCTATGAATACTTGTGTGGTTCTTATGCTTTGAGCACCTATTGACAGCAATTTAGAGTCCACTAAGAACAAGGCCTGGTGTGGTGCTGTGGGTTAATGCGCTGGACTGCAAAGTTTGTTTGAACCGTAAGGTGAGCAATTCAGGCTCACCAGCTGCTCCTTGGAAACCCTATACATTGTGGGTCGAAACCAATTAGACAGCACGTAACAACAACAAAGCTTTGGGCCTGGTGTTAATGGAAAGACAATGAAGCCTAGAACAGAGTTCAAGTGAACTCTGGTCAAGTAGACCAACACAGAAAACCATGCAATCAGGATCTGTGTCTCTTAGAACTTTTAATAATAATAGAAGATAATCTGCCTAATTTCATGCTACTGTCCTCCCCCTCTCCTAAAGAACATTCCATGGCAACAGCTGGAAAACCAACAGGACCCAACTTCCACTTCTGTTTTGGCAGAGGAGCCAGAGGCATATCTACTGAAAACAGTACCGATGGCAATTAATTTTAAATTGCAGAATGATCTGTCACAGCTGGCGATGGAAACTGTGATGGTGAATAGAAACTGCTCACTGGTGCCTGAGCACAAGCCAGGCCTGCCATACCCTAGATACATTTCTGCCAGGAAGACATGAGAGATGAGCAAACTCGTCACCTCAACAATAAAACAGGGCCAAAGTATGCCACAAAGTGCTGGGCAAAAAAGAAATGGGTCTGAAGGGCTGTGTTCCTGAGAGAAAATCACAGTAGACCTCAGGGAAGCCCCAGATCTCATCTTAGTTGGAGTCACGTCTCTTCTCAGCCCTGATGAATCAAAGAAAACAGTTCCCTGAACTGAAGGAGAAGCCATTTCTGGGCTGGAAGGAGCTCTTGAGCAGAAGCGGTTGTATTACCTCCCCATCCAGTTTTTCAGAGGACATTTTTCTGCAAACTTGTCAACAGAAAACCCCACTGAACAGTTTTCTGGCTAAGGCCATTTCCTCAACCTACCTTCTCATAAAATAAGAGTGGCCCCAGCTTAATTCTCACAGGGAAAATTTTTAGACAGTCTCCAGTTACCTGAAGACACAGAAATCTAGGCTTTCCCCTTAAACCTTCTCTATGCCACTCCTTCCCCAGCCTCCACCACACATGTCTGTCCTACAGGATGACGTTGCTAACTGCCATCATTTCTCTATACTTAGCACGTTTATTCTGAGGCACCCATGATGGGCCTTGATGGAGCCCCTTTTCCTACCCCAACCCCCAGTCTGAAGCCTCCAATCTCCACCCCCAGCTTCCCCAAGTGGGATGCCTGCCTGCGGTGGGGTCTAGCACTCTCTGCTCCCTCTAGGTTGGCCCAAAGAGCTTGACCCCAAGTAAAATGTCAAATTTGAATCCCCAAAGATTTGAGATGATTGCAGTTCCTTTGACCTTTCCTCCCCCCACCCCTTTTTGAACATGACCTCATGTAGACTTACCTCCCTCTGAAGCCATCCTAACAGCTGTCTGGAAGCTTCCAGAATGAGACAGTCAGGTCCAGGACCCAGAAAGTAAGCTGGCTCTAGTAGATAACACAGGGATCCAAGGGAAGAAGGGTCGGATCACACAGAACTAGAATTTAGGACTCAAGGCATTCTACAGTGGGGGAGGGGAAAAGAAAATGTAGGGTGGAAGGCAAGAGATGGCCTCTAAAGGGTTCTGGTAAAGTAAGCCACAACCAGGAATTACCTCCAAACTAGAATCTGGCAATATAATTCAGATCTACTTCTTTAAGCAATTTGTAAATTCTTTCTCATGTTCCCAACACTGCAGTTTTACTGCTGTTTCCTTTCAATTCTTCAACACATCTAGTTTTGACCTTCAACCCAGTTCTGTAGCTCACTTCTTCATAGCAGATTGGTTGTAGGCCCTTGATTTAATTCAATTAAAGGTTATATATTTTTAAAACCAAATTCAGAGCACATAGGTCACGGGAGCTGAATGTCTGAAATCAAGATCATCTCAGAAGATGCAGGGTGTATCTGTTACTATTGCTCCTTAGAAAGTTGGCCTGCTGTACACCAACAGCTCATTCCCATAAGCTCTGCAGTCTACAGCAGGCCCAGCCTTACCAGTGAAGCCCTTTACTGAAAAGCCCCACTACATCAAAAACTGCCATGTAACCTAAAGTTTCATAAGAAAATCCTTATTTTTGTTTGTTTAATTATTTTGCTATTAAATATTTAATTTTTATTAAGAAATAATTTTTAAATGCGTTAATACAATAGTATGGTTCGAAAGTCAAACTGCAAAACAGACTAAAACAACGAATCTTCCTCCCACCCCATTCTTCTGTTAAAAGAGTTCTCCATCACTGAAGAAACCAGTATTGTGATTTTTGTGCATCCTTGCAGAGAGATCTTATGCAGAGATATTTTATACAAATACAAGCAGTATTTTACGATCAGGCTTTTTTTGTTTTTACCATTAGAGGGTTGCAATGATTATCTTTGTCATATCTTGGTTCCAATTTTCGTTCCTTTAAGCTAGAGTCCTATAAGAATTTCTCCGTTCTTTTAAAATTCGAAATACCCCTACGAGGAGGTGCATCTTATTACGATATTATTAGTTACTTACCATATAAAAAAGAGCGCTGAATTTGCGGTAAAGAGACCTGAATTTGAATCTTGTCTCGTTCACTTAAACATACTTCACCAGTTTCATAAAATAACTTCACGCTCTCTTCGCTGTATAGAATATTGAATACCCATCATGCACTCTTTACCGCCAATACTTTGCAAAGGGACGGGAAAACCGGATGTAAAAGAGGGGAGGTAAGAAAACCTTTTTCTTGCTTTCCTAAAGTAAAGGGGCTCTGAATCTTAACATTTGTTTCTCCAAGCATTAGAAATCCACTCCCCTGCAATAGGAATAAATCTAACATTAAAAGCAGTATTCTAGTCATCAGTATACAACTCACATCCATCCCCACCCCCCTCTAACGCCTAGCAGTGCCTAGCACACAGTGGGTACACTCCACGTGTTTTAGAATGCTTGCAAGGTTGCAATTTGTACCCCCAGGCCAAATCCTGCACTAGCGCGCCCCCTCTCGGCCACTTGAAGACGAGGCCAATTATTGAACTACATTTCCCGAAATCCTTTGAGACAGACTTCCTGCTTCTCAGAAAGGAAATTGACAAACACGTGAGGCTGTTGAACCGAAGGAGTTTCAGGCGCTACTACGGAGGTAGTTGGAGTGTCTGGCAGTGGAATCATGTTTCTCCAGTATTATCTTAACGAAGAGGGAGACCGAGTATATACGCTGAAGGTAAGGACAGGAAACAGGATGGAAATGGTATGGTGAGAAATGTAGATGGAAGGATCTGGTGAGACTAGCCACCGAGTTGACCAGCCGAGTGAGGTATATCAGAAAGCTCAGACACGTAGCGTGGTTGAAGCTTTGGTGTAGAATTTCATGATTTGATCGTCGCGTTTCTGAATCTCATTTTGCCTTTTACGCGCGGCACCCATCTTATTCCAGCCTCTATCTACCTTATAGCCCCAGTGATTGAGTTTTCCCACCACTCTTGTACTGAGATCGTGTTTTCTTTTCTCCTCGAGCAGAAGCTTGATCCTCTGGGACAACAGACCTGTTCAGCCCATCCTGCTCGGTTCTCCCCAGATGACAAATACTCGCGACACCGAATCACCATCAAGAAACGTTTCAAGGTGCTTATGACCCAGCAACCACGTCCTATCCTCTGAGGATCCTGCTTAGTTCATGCCTCTTCTGCCGCCTGCCTGTTACCCTCGGAGACTACTCTTACCAAGTTCTGCGACGTGTGAGCCTTGAAGCCCAGTTTACCACCCTCGCTCTTTGGAATTCAGCCTTTGATCATGCTTATTTGAGGGAATCATGGTATCATCACCTTTAAAGGGAACAAGTTTGAATCTTAGTTATTGTGAATCACTGTCAGGTTATTAAAGACAAAATGCTTTTATTTTCAAGATCTTTTGTTTTGTGTGTTGTTAGAGAAAAGGATGGGTTAGAAAACAAAAACAAAGAATGAGGTAGACCATGGGGAGGAGGAAACCCCTGAGAATTGCAACAAGATCATTTGGAAGAAAATGATCTTGCTACTGATGTGGCGCCTTAGGATAAGCACTCGACCTCAGACTCAGCAGCCGCTCCTTGGATACCCTATGTTGTTGCTATGTGCCGTAGAGTCGGTTCTGACTCATAGCGACCCTGTACAGGATTTCGAAGGCTGTAAATCTTTACAGGAGCAGAAAGCCTCATCTATCTCCTGTGGAACAGATGTTAGTTTCGAACTGCTGACCTTGAGATTAGCAGCCCGGTTGTAAACACTACGCTTTGGAGTCCTGGTGTGGTGCTGGGGGTTAAAGCTCCAGACTGCAAAGTCGTTTGAACTGTAAGGTCAGCGGTTCAAGCTCACCAGTCAATTCTCGGAAACCCTAGACAGGGTCGCTATGGGTCGGAACCGACTCAATGGCACTTAACACTACCACCAGAGCTCCTTTGGGAACCCTATACAGGGTACTTATGAGTCAGAACTGGCTCGAGGGCACTTAACAACAGCAATCCTAGCTGGGAGGAGATGGGAGAAGGGTGCTGGGATAGGGAAGAAAGGTGGAGAAAGTATCTTGTACAACTGTCAGCATTCACTGAACAATACTCCTATTGTCACTTAAATAATTTCTTGCCCCTTTGAAATGACATTTTGACTCAAATGGAGCAGTTGCTTGAAAAAGTAATAGTCATTGTAGGGAGACAGACCACTGAATTGGACATTAGACTTGGGTTCTCCCCCCTTGTGTAAGAAAGTCACTTCACCTCCTTGGTCCCATTTTTCCCATCACTTCTAAATTCTTCTCCAATCCTGAAAGGTTCCATGAATCTTAATTTAGCTACAGTATCTGTATAACGTTTATGAATACAAGTGCTTTCTTACATCTTTACCGTTCCCCTGGAAATATTCCCAGGTTTTTAATTCTCTCCATCAAGTAATTGCCTTTTTATGTACATTGTGGGCTAAGCATTGGGCTGCTAATGTCAAGGTTGGCAGTTTAAATCTACTATCTGCCCTGTGGGAGAAAGATGAGGCTGCCTGTTGCCATAAAGATTTACAGTCTTGGAAACCCTAAGGAGCAAGCAGTTCTACTTTGTCGTATATCAGGTCACCATGAGTCAGAATTGACTTGATGGCAGTGGGGAACTGTGTATTATCTATGGCAGCTAGTATGTGGAACTCTAAATAGATTTTAATGTAGAAGATGAGATTTAAGATTTGTGTAGGAATTTTTGTTCATTTTTAAATTACTGTTGAAGGTTAAAGAAAAGTTTCTTAAAAACTGGGAGTGATTTCATAGAGCTTGAGCTTCTATCAATGGGCAACCACAAATGATCTTGAACATAGCACTTAACTTCCTGCTCCTAAGAGTCTTGGTGTGGTGTTGTAGGATAAGCACTGGACAGTAAGGTCGGTTTGAACTGCAAGATTGGCAGACTCACCAGCTGCTCCTCAGAAACTTTACAGGTTCCTATGAGTCAGATCCCACTCAAGTGCACTTAACAACTTCCTATTAGAAGGATGGTCAGGCAAAATACTGTCCTCAGGCATTTAAGAAATGCTAAATTGCTTCTTTCCTCTTGTCAGATTAATCAACCCAGTATTTCCCTGTCTCCACATGACCTTTGACATTGGATTTGAATATTGTTTGTTCAGGGCCACTGATTTAAAAATTGCTTTGTGGAGAATATAGTATTCTAATACTGCCATCTTTTCTATGTCAAAATTACAGACTCCAGAGTTACCTGTAACTTAAATCAGTGCAAATGTGGCTTATGAAACTGGTTCTAAAAAGGAATGGAAACATTTCTTTAGAATTGCCTTAGAAAACTTCAGGACAGCTGAGGCAGGGGAGAAAAAAATCTCTGGACTTGAGTCACATTGTTAAGTGCCGTCGAGTCAATTCCAACTCATAGCCACCCTATTCTATGTAGGGTTTCCGAGGAGCATCTGGTGAGCTTGAACTGCCGACCTTGAGATTCAAACCGACCTTGCAGCCCAGAGCATTATCCCATGAGACTTGGGTCATAGTCAACAGAAAACAGATGATTTAAAAATCAATTACTTAGAGGAATGATAAAATTAGATAATCTTTTCAGTCAGACAATTTTATTTCTTGACCAGTGTTTTTGCAGGATCTTGGGATTTCAGAGTTACCATACCCTAAGAAATGTAAAAAAATAATAAAATAAATCTGTTTGTGACTGGGAAAAGGGTCTGCGATTAAAGTTTGTTAAACTTTTAAGTAATCTTGGAGTCCTGGTGTGGCACTGTAGGTTGATGTGCTAGACTGCAAAATTGATTTGAACTGCATGGTTGGCAGTTCAAGCTCACCAGCTGTTCCTCGGAAATCCTTTACAAGATCACTATGGGTTGTTTAAGTTAGTAACTAATTTTTTAAACGGGGTGGGAAAGACAGCACTGTTTCTATCCTGTCTTCTGTGTAGCCAGAAATTAGAAGTATTCCTAATTTAAATAAAGAAGACAAACTACTGCACATACTGATGTTTTACTTAAGAGTTCCTCTAGTTATTAATAGCTCTGGAAGATGGTATGAGTTTGATTTAGCACTCAGAGACGGGCAGACGAGTAAAATATAATTGTTAGGTAATATATATATATATATAAAATTAAGTAAGGAGCTCTGGTAGCATAGTGGTTACGAATCGGGCTGCGAACTGCAAGGTCAGCAGTTTGAAACTACCAGTGGCCCCGTGGGAGAAAGATGAGGTGTTCTGCTCCCATAAAGATATACAGCCTCGGAAACCCTGTACAGGGTCGCTATAGGTCGGAACAGATTTGACTGCACTTAACAACAACAACATGTATAATTAAATGCAAATATAACTGGTGTGGTGGGGAGGGGATCAGCCCTTTCAAAAAATCTGCATTTCTGCAAAGCCTGGCTAAACAATTGAATTCTTAAGAAGGGTGGATTTCCTGCTGCTTCTAGTAAGAAAACTGTGAGCTTGAAAAAAATCAAGCTTGTTCACATTTTTAATAGGAATTTATTTCTGATTTTGTTGCCTGGATCTTTTTAATTGGAATTTAACTTTGTGTGCCATTTGAGAAAAGAAATGTATTGCCCGTGTCAGGTCTTAAATACAGTTCTGTTCCATTACTAAGAAAGTTGCTTAAAAATTACACTCATGAATGACAAGGACTCAGACAAAGTCAAGGTGTTTCTGGGTCCAAGTAGTGTAATTTCTTGATAAAATCCCTGATAACATAGTGGGTTACTGGCTGGGCTGCTAACCGAAAAGGTCAGTAGTTCAAATCTACCAGTAGCTCCGCAAGAGAAAGATGAAGCTTTCTGCTCCTGTGAAGATTTACAGCCTTGGAAACCCTATACAGGGTTGCTGTGAGTGATACCAACTGGACAGTACTTAACAACAATAGTAAATAACTAGGACAAAACACTGATGAGTCAACACTGAATACATTGATTTATGAACTAAATAAACACAAAAAATATTCTAGTGATAACTCATTAAGTCAAACACTAGGAATGGAATCAACAGGAAGTGTCTCAAAGTCTTCTCCAAGTCTAAAATTCTTTACCAGAAGTGGTCTTTAATGGAACTTTAAGCCTAACTAGAAAATGAGCATGTTGTTAAGTGCCGTGACGTCAGTTCCTATATAGGGTTTTCGAAGAGCGGCTGGTGGGTTTGAATTTCCAACCTTGCAGTTTAAACTAGTATTGTGGTCAAGTGCATTATACTGCGCCACAACATGAACACAGCATTTTTAAAAACAACAGGAGCAAAGAAATGTACAAAGTGTGTGTGAGAATTCTACTTTAGGAGTGGGCTTTGAACTTTAAGGTCAGCAGTTCAAAACTACCAGTTGTTCTGTGGGAGAAAGATGAGGCTTTCTGCTCCCTTAACGATTTACAGCCTCAGAAACCCTATACAAGGTCGCTATGAGTCTGAACCCACTCCACCGCACATAACCACCATCACCACCACTTTAGGATAGAATAACATATGAAATTCCAATGAGGATCATACTTAGGCATGTGGATTATAATTTTTTTTTCCTTAAATGTTTTATTGTGAATTATTTGATAGTTTACATAAGAGAACATTAGTTTTACATTCATTCTATCGTATATCATATCATTGCCATGGTTAAAATCCCCTCCATGCAATCCTTCCCCCGTACCCCGCAGGTCTTCAGCACACAATCCCTCTCCCTCTCTGGATCTAAAATCTCCAGCTGCTCCATCACTCCACTTCATCATCTCTGGCTCCATTTCAGGCATCACTGCTTCTCTGGGTAGGGTCCTGCGCTCTGCTCTTCTCCCTTGATGGTTCTAGGGACCTCTGTTCCTAGACTGAAAAGTTAATCACTCCCATCCTTGCTATAAAACGTCTACCTTTACATTTCCAACCCTCACAATCAGTCCTGATAACAATTATTCACTATTTTATCATAAGAGACCCGTCTGCATTTCATTGCATCAGCCCCTCCTATACAGATTGAATACTACTCACTGGAGATTCTACCTTCCTCCAGGCCCTCTGGATCTAGGTTCCCTCTTGAAAGCTTGTAAGCCAGTCACTTCTTGCCTTCGTAGCCCCCCACCCCCCATTTTGGGTAGCCAGTGTCCAAGTTGCCCATCCCTGTCTACTCTGTGTGTGGAGGGGGTGGGAATGATTCTTGCTGTAAGGACTTGTTCCCTCTTCTGTGCTACTGCTTTCATAGGTGTAGGTCAAGTTCATCAAATTGTATGATGGATTATAATTTTTAAGGAAATTATTAATTTTAGAGACGCTCTTAAAGATGGCTCTTGAGGTTCTGAGGATAAGGGATATTCGTCTGCTTTCTGAGATACCTTCAGAGTGAGTTGCTGCAACACAGATGAACCAAATAGAAAGATAGAATTTAGGTTTTTTAATGCTCCAGGGTCGGACCCGACTCGATGGCACTTAACAACAACAACAAATGCTCCAGGAGGCTCCGGACTACAATTCCCGCCATGCCCCAAACTTCTTATACTCGGCTCCGCCCCCCACACTCCGCCCTTGCCCTCGGGCGGACGCAAGCGCGTAGCTTTCCGTCACCTCGCGGGCGGTAGGGGCTGGGCGGGGCCTCCGGTCGTGCGTGAACCTCCCCGGTTCCGCCCTCTGGCCGCTACCCTAATCGCCTCTTCGGACGGTTAACCTCGAATGAGGAACGAGCGGGGAGGGGCTGCGGCGGCGCGGGCAGAGCCTGCCGGGCCTGGGGCTGGGGGCGGTGAGGTCACGTAACGGCTGCTCTGGCGTCCGGTCGGGGAGGGGGTGCCCTCCCCGGCGGCCCGAGTCTTCCTGCGCGCGCCGCGGCTCCGAAACAGTTACCGGGTTGTAAACAACAGCTGCGCGCGCACCGCGTCAGCTGGCGCCGGGATCCTGCACCTGCGACCTCCTTCTCCCCTTCTCTCCTCTGCCTTCTCCTCAACCCAGGGCAGCCTGCATGGCCGTCTCCTCCTCAGCCAGGACCCGAAGGACAGACGGCGAGGGGCTGGCCTGCACCGGGCATCTGGCAAAAGGGGGTGGCTCTTCCTGTCACACGCAGGAGAAACCCATTGAGCAGATCGTGGGTTCTATGGACTAGCAGCGACCTGCCACGACCCCGAGTTGCTGTTCGAGGTGTCTTGATCCGCTAGCCTTTTCCTCCCAGATCTCAGGGACCAGGAGAGCGGGGAGGCCACCTCCGCAGATCTCTCAGCAGCAGGAATCCGCTCAACCCCAGCACCCTCCTCTGCTCACCATCCTCTCTGCATTCTCCATCCAGTAGTGTGGGATATTTTTCCCGTTATGCATGCGCACCTTTCCCACGAGACCCAAGTGGATTGTCTGCCTCAAAAACATCGGGTGGTTCTGCACACACTTCCTCCAAGCCAAACCTGTGAGATATTCACCTGATACACAACAGGTGGTTGGTGTACACCTTTTTGCAATCCGATCAATGCTATATTCGCCTGACAAGGGAGGGCCTGCACGCACTCTGCTCAACTAGAACCGTGGGACATCCGCCAGATACAGGACTAACGACCTCTGCCGGAACCTGGGGGCTGAGGGGAGGGAGTCGCCATCCGCTGCTCTGAGACCATGGCACTGAGCCTTCAGCCCTGGACCAGGGCAGATAGCTAGATTGCTCTTTCTTCCGAAGGAACGAAGTTACCGAGATCGGTATTGTTTATGTTTTTTTTTTTTTTCTATATATAAAACAGCTCCCTCCCTCTTGCCCCCAAGTTATTGGCGGTGTACTTTCTAGAGTGGTTTGCTTGAATTCTGAATTGAAGTATTATTTGGAGTTTTTGTGTGGTGTGAATCAAGGTAACAGGTGTTTGTTGTTTTCTTTTGATAAATTTTATATTTCTTCAATCAAAATTAGCTAGCATATGAGAAAGGATTTGGGGGGCTTTTCCTTTCTTCTTTGTGCATAAAAAGAAAAAGAAAAATGCATCCTCCGGAAACCACCACCAAGATGGCTTCAGTTCGGTTCATGGTGACACCAACAAAGATTGATGACATTCCAGGATTGTCAGACACCAGCCCGGACCTCAGCTCTCGATCTAGTTCTCGAGTAAGATTTAGCTCCCGGGAAAGTGTGCCTGAAACCAGTCGCAGTGAGCCGATGAGTGAGATGTCAGGGGCCACCACTTCATTGGCAACTGTTGCTCTGGATCCAGCCAGTGACCGGACTTCCAACCCCCAGGATAATACTGAGGGTAAGTAGAAATACAGATGACAGAACACTTTAATAGCTGGCCCAGTTATCCAGGTGAATCATTTTCCCATTACACAATAATCGTCTGACTCCAAAGCACCTCTTTTTGAGATCCTTAGGAACCCTTTGGTGTAATAGTGGGTCTCTGCAGTAGTAATGTGGCATGTGAGGGGAAAAAAAGATATTATTTCCTCATTTGTGTCTCTTTAGAATGGAAATGGATATTTTGTTTAAGGATGTTTGTCAGAGTGTCGTAGTTTTCAGTTTGCTATGGTTAATGCGCCAAATTGCAAAGTCGTTTGAACTGCAAGGTCAGCGGTTCAAGCTCACCAGCTGCACCTTGGAAGCCCTACACAGGGTCGCTATGGGTTGCAATCGACTCGACGGCACTTAACAACAGCAACAACAATGGTTAAGTGCAGTCAAGTCAGTGAGTTTGAACTGCTAACCTTGTGGTTGGTAGTCCAGTGCTTATCCTCCAGTGCCACACCAGGATTCATTTTAGCATATCTAATACTGCCTAAAATTCAGTGGATTAGAGATGTGCTCTCTTAACAAGCCTTACAGTCTGCTTTTGAGGATAGTTCAGAGGAATAGCCATGGTTGTATCTTGGTACTTTCTTAAAACTTCAGATATTGTGTTCTCACGAAAGTATTTTTTTCTAGTTTATAATTTATATTCAAGGAGCTCTGGTAGCGTAGTGGTTACGAATCGGGCTGCGAACCTTAAGGTCAGCGGTTCGAAACTACCAGCTGCTCCGCGGGAGAAAGATGAGGCTTTCTACTCCCGTAAAGATTTACACCCTCGGAAACCCTATACAGGGTCGCTATGGGTCGGAACCGACTCGATGGCACTTAACAACAACAACAAATAATTTATATTCAAGAAACTGAGCTTACTCAAGATAATGCTGGATAGGCCTAGTTGTGCAGTCATTTCAAGTGGAGTGCTAAAGAGATTTGCTGGGCCTAGTGCCCACATAATTTCTGTTCTTTGAATTATAAATGAAATGTACTGAGCATTGAGTTTTTGTAGTCACAAAGTGGCACACAAGCCAATTTTTACTTATATTGCCCACCAGAGATACCCTTGCAGACTCCTGATGTGGCGCTGTAGGATTGGCACTGGACTGCAAACCACAAGGTCGGCAGTTCAAACCTACCAGCTGCTCCTCAGGAACCCTGTACAGGGTCACTATGAGTCAGAACCGACTTGAGGACACTTAGCAACAACAGAGAGACCCTTAGCTTTCTAAACCAATTCGTGTCAGCTGGCTTGGAATTTTTCACTTTTAAGTAGTGGGAAAGATGATAGAAGTGAGGGATGACATAAAGTGGAGAGATCAGAACATTTTTGGGGACTTAAGTAAAAAAGTTTGAGAACTGCTATATACTGTTACATGTATTTGTTGTTGTTAAGTGCTGTGAAGTTGGTTCCGACTCAGAGATATCCTGTGTAGGGTTTCCGAGGAGCAGCTGGTGAGTTTGAAGAGTGCTTCTACCACAGCACCACACCAAGACGCTACATAATTAATTTATGCTATATTCTAACTAATGTAGATCTTGTGATGAAAAGTTTCCTTAAGAATCTTAAAGACTTCAATATTTAACAGTTTGAAAACAAAGGGCAGCATTTACCCAAGGACAAAATTCAGAAGGGTTTGGAAAGGAAGAATAGAAAAAGGAAATACATGGAGGAAGTGGGATGAGTGATGTTACATTGTGGGGACTACAATCAATAACATGAAACAAAAAGTGTATGAATTGTTAAAGGGAAAACTGATTTGCTCTGTAAACCTTTACCCAATTCACAATACAAAGTTGTTGTTTGTTTGTTTGTTTTTTAAATAATGGTATTCTACCCAACTTTGAAAACCACTCACATGTGAAACAAGGCTCATGCAACTGTTTTCCGGTGTCAGGAAATATAGTTTCTCCTAATATAGGGTGCCTGGTGTGGCGCTGTGGGTTAATGCGCCAGACTGCAAAGCTGTTTGAACTGCAAGGTCGGCGGTTCAAGCTCACCAGCTGCTCCTTGGAAACCCTATACAGGGTCGCTATAGGTCAGAATCGACTGCACGGCACTTAACAACAACAACAACAATATAGGGTGCAAGGAGCTCTGGTATGAATCGGACTGCTAACCTCAAGGTTGGCAATTCGAAACTATCAGCCATTCCGCAGGAGAAAGATGAGACTTTCTGCTCCCATAAAGATTTACAGCCTCAGAAACTTTGTGCAGGGTCGTTATATGTTGGAACTGACTCCATGGTACTTAACAACAACAACAACAAATATAGGGTGCAGGAAGCCAGAGTGATTTTAGTTCCTTAATTCTGTTTGTGTTTTTTTAATGCCTGGAGACAAACTAGAGTTGGTAATTTAGTTCTAGAACCCATTCACCTTTCATTCATCTCAATTCAAAGGCTATTTCATCTATTATGGGAATATTACAGGTTGGTTCCTAGATTTGGTTAATTTCAAGTTCTTGACAAAGTAGATAGCTTCAAAAGTTTATGGAAAAATGGAATGAAGAGAGAATAGAAATTTTTCTAAGAACTTTTTGAAGCCCTCTAGTGTGTATTACTGTGCCAAAATTATATTGTGGAATAAAAAATGATTTTTCATCCTCCACATTAATTTCAGATTGTAGTTTTCATTTTTATCCACCATACTATATTTGTTGCTCTTGTTGGTTAAGTGCCAGCCATCATGTTGATTCGACCGCATAGTGACCCTGTGTTGGGTTTCCGAGGAGTGGCTTGTGGGTTTCAACCTCCAACTTTGTGGCTAGCAGTTCAGTGTTTATCCTACAGTGCCAGACTATATTTAAGTTATAAAAAATACCAGGTAAAGCTAACAGTGTTAATTTTTTGTTGTTGTTGTTGTTATTAGGTAAACTTATAGTTAATTATTATTAGACTTTTGACTTATATCTTATAGACTTGTATCTTTACTATCTTTTAAGAAGTGGCCTTATTTCAGTAATGTGTTCCTCTTGCAGAACAGGGTCCTTGTCCTGCTCTTCTTATCTTTTAGCATTCTTCACAGCCCTGGAATGGTATAGTCTTGCAGCATAGGGGTAAAACTAGAGACATGCTTCTTCTTGTTGTTGTTAAGTGCTGTCATGTCAGTTTTGACTCATTGTGATTTTGTATATATAGGGTTTCCAAGGACAACTGGTGAGTTTGAACCACCAATCTTAGGGTTCAAACCGACATTGCAGTCCAGTGCTTTATCCTACAGTGCCACACCAGGACTCCAGAGACATGTTTAGGTGCAGACTATGTTGTTTTAGGTGGGTTTAGACAGTAATGCGTGTCACTATCCTAACATTCCTAAGAATAGTTTAAATGCTCTCTGTACTAAATGAGGGTAATTAGCAGTCCAGCATTAGATTGCACTTTTTCCTATTTTCAGGAAACTCGTTTCTGAACTTTTTCTAATGAGCTACTTAAACAAAAAATTTTTATTCTTGTGATGACTGTTACCCTGTGATTTCCCCACCATTAGCATTGTTTAGAAATATAATCATTACAGCTTTTGTTTAATAATATGTGTATGCCCTTGTTAGGCTTAGAAGTAGATCTTTAAAGGGTGTTGCTAAGAAAATCAAGGACATATGTTAGCCTGTATCTTTTGGTGGGGGGTTTGATTTAGCACAAGAAAACAACTACCTCTCTACATTTGACTCTCACCTTAAGTTCAGTGTAATTAGAAATTGTGTTTGCTGCACAATTTACAAGTCTGTGAATTTTTTAGCCCTTTTCACATTCTTCAATGGATTATACCATCAATATGTTTTCCCCTTTTCCACAATTCCTTTGCTTTCCACATTTTTTGCTAATGTAAAAAATGATAAGCATTTTTTACATAAATGTGCAAATAGTTACCTGCTCTATTGCTGTCCAGTCTGTTCTGACTCATAGCAACCCTATAGGATAAAGTAGAACTGCTCCATAGGGTTTCCCAAGTTCTATGGCAGCAGACGAACACATCTTTCTAACTCATCATGGTTGTTGGGTTCAAACTGCTGACCTTTTGGTTAGCAGTTAAGTGTTCACCAGGGCTCATCAATGATAGTCATTTGGTTAATTTAACTAATTGTTAAAATAATAATACATAAAATAACATGGAACATACTTGTATATGTATTATTCAGGCTTTGATATATTTCAGCTGTTTATAATTCAACAAATGCCTGAGCATGTATGAGGCATTATGATAGAAACTGTAGGTTCGGCCTTTGGGAACTCATACTATAGTAGTGAAAATGGTAAGTACCCATACCCATTCCTTCACCAGAGTTTTACTGAACACTTATCATGGTTCAAGTCTTGTACTGGATGTTAAGAATGTAGAATCTGGGGCAGAAGTCCATTATCTGCTCTCAGGAAATTTATGATGAAATAGAGAAAATAAACAAGCTTTGATGCAAGTTATTATGCTAGGTGATAATGCAACAATAGAAATATACTTAAGTATAGGGAAGAAGTGGCCTTCTAAGGTGCAACTATTGGTCTCTCCATGTGTGGAAGAAAGAAGAGTGATGAGAATTGAAGTTGCTTGGACTCCATTAGACCAGCGGACTAATGAAACATGTGAACATCAGTCTCCATGACTCTGAGACCAGAAGAACTAGATGTACCCAACTACTACTACCAACTGCTCTGAATGGTTATCGTATTTTAGAGGATCCCAGATAGAGTGGGAGAAAATGTGGAACAAAACTCAAAATTACGTTTAAAAAAAACTGGACTTACTGGTCGGAAAGAGACTGAAGGAACGGGAGACTGGCCCTTGACCACCATTCGGGGCGAGAAAGAAACTCACCCTCATGGTCCAATGTTCAGCTAAGCAGAACATACAGGGGACAACAACACTACTAAGGTATGCACACCATAGAATTGTCAGTCATTCAAAATCAAAAGGGCAACATTTACCTATGGACAATGAGAAGGGATAGGAAGATGGATGGAATGGAAACAGGAACCACAGGAG